CTCGTAGCACGTTACATTACATGTGGTTCATTGGAAAAACCACATGGTATAATAATATTATTTCGCAATAACTCGCATTTTAGACTAAAATGAAATAAAGCAGTAAAGAATAACCAATGAACACTCTTTCATACATTTCAGGCTGAGAACTGTCTATAATCGATGTATACGTTATTTTAACATTAATGTAAATTATAAATCAATTAAAGACGTATTTAAAAGTTTACTGATTGTATATACAAAAATCAACTATTTACATACACTATCATATACAATTTGGATTTTATTTTTATTTACATTTAAAAATATTAGTTAATATATATATATATATATATATATATATATATATATATATATATATATATATATATATATAAGTGGTAGGTAGGTATAAGGTATATATAAGTATACACTAACTAACCAACGTCTTATACGAAATACGGTCGCGCGCGATGAAAAGCGTGCTTCTAGATCAAATTTGCGTCACACGTGCACTCCCAACAGTGCGCACGCGATAGCTAGATCTAGATACCAGTACTGCTGCTAGAGCTAGTTTCCACTAGATATTCATAGCGCCAAAGCGCCATAGCCTCATAGCGCCGTGGCGGCTAGTTACATAGCACGCGCTGTGCGCTATGGAAAGATAGCGCGCTATAATATGGCGCTATGTGCTATATTAACCACCATTAGTGTCCAACTCCATTCTTGTAAGTTTAAAATGTTAGTGCATAAATCTGGGCTATCGTTAGTCCTCAAATGTTCGCTCGTAAATGCTTTCTTTTTTAGTCGCAGTCAGTTAAGTACTTGCCTATTCAGAAATACGCGTTCGATTATATTAGTTTTTTATAGCTTTGTAATGAATTGAGCAAAGCTGAAAGCGTTTAACCTACATCGATAAGTTCAAAACTAAAATGTTATTTATCTAAATTAGTAAGTAAGTTTGTTGGTCACTTCAATTTTCAAAAAAAAAGGAGTGTATCAGCTCCGACGGCCGACTGTAGTTTACTGTTTAAGAAACTGTAAGACCCTTTTAAGTTAATAATGTATTCACAATTTAGTGTTTTTTGTTATTTTATTTTTATTTTCGAATAGGGTGATGTTATTGGTTTATATTGAAGAAAAGTTGCAGCTATATAATGGTTGTATAATGAATAGGTCGTCTCGACCGAGGAAGGACCACGCCTCTCACAGAATACTAGCGTAAAATGCTGCTGTGTTTCGTATGGTGAGTGTTGAGACCTTTTTTACTGGAAACGAGGCATTCCATCTTAGTCCTCAGCGGTGACAACACACCTGCATTGAATCTTAATTGAGTATAAATGTAGATGTTTATAGGCAGCACCACTTACCATCAGGTGGAGTGTGTGCTCGTTTGTCACCCTTATACTATAAAAAAATTTCGAAACTCATTGAAACTAACACATACATAACAACACCTACTTAGTATCTTTGCGTATGAATAAAAATTCAACTAATATTATTAACCAATAAAAATATTAGTTAATATTTTTAAGTAAAAACTTTTAACTATTAAACAAATTCAACTATGTGTTATCGCCATCTTTACATACGTTCAGTAAAGATGCGCGAATGTGTTCCGGGAGGGGCAACGTAACAACTACGATAACCATATTGTTTACACTCGATTTCGCTCCCTATCTAATTTGTGTACCGCGGGATATATATGAAAATTGATTCTTAAAGAGTACACTCCAACAAACTTAATGATTAAACAGTAAATATAAAAACCAGACCGCCTGCGAAGATACCTTCCCTTCCCTATTTCGTATTAACAGAAGCAATATATAAATATTATACGGCGTATTTTACTCCCGAAAAGACGAATTTAACTACATCTCATATGTTAAAATTCGTCAAGCCGTTTAAGCTACAGAGCGTGCTAAAGAAATAGACACACACACATACATACATACTCTCAAAAAACTTTACCCTCTTTCTGGGGCAGTTTTGTAATAGTATATCTCTAACTATAATTTACACAGCAGTTCATTCCAATTATTATTATGCATTGAAGTTACGAGAATCAATTATCAAACTCTCTATACTACGTAGATGATTAGTTGCACACTATCATTAAACAAATATTTTGTTTGTGTTTCCAAATACAATTTAAAGTAATTACACTTCAAGCCTTGATTGTGTTATACTCGTAGTAACAATGTTGACTTTCGCGCCGTAAATAGTTTTTCGTATCCTGTAATTAATTATCTATGACTTCCTATTTCACGCGTTTGAAATTGGATTTTTTTATGTAGAATAAGGGTGACGAGCATACAGTCCACCTGATGGGTGAATTCAGAAGCTCATAGACATCTATATTAATCCCCGATTAAGAATCGAAATGCAGAATGCGTTGTCACCCCTGAGGACTAAGATGGAATGTCTCGTTTACAGTAAAAAGGATCTCCGGTTCTCTTCACTCACCATACTTTTAGGATAGGAACAGTTTTTGTAGTCTGTAAATAAATCTAAAAGAAGTAGACTAAACAAAACAAACAAAAACAGCTGTATGAAAATAATTTATCACGTTAATACACTAGGTATTTACTTAGTTATAGTTTTAGAGCCCTTTAGCTAAATAAGTGAACAAACAGAGGTCAGACGACCCCCACCCCCGCCCCCTCTCCCGGCACCATTGAAATTGTCGTGTCTATGTGTCAAGCATTGAGAGAATCCTGCACGGAACAAGTGGTTATATAGCTTACAAATAATTAATTGTTCCGGGTCTGCACGTTTGCCCGTGAGTTTATTACATCGTCAACATATGAAAACAACAAGGAGGATTTGTCTTGTTAATATAGTTACGATTTTAGAAGATTTTTGTTAGAATAACGTTTTAGGGCAAACCTAAAATTTTTTGACATCATTTATGTTGATAGACATAAAATTATTTATTGCACTCAAAAAAATTTGGTACAAAGGCGAACGTAATGCCGAAAAGGCATTCTCTGTCAGCTAACCTTTGGTAGTGTGATGAGATATATGGATAAAGCCACAACAGAAAAAGAAATATAATAGAAGAGGTTAGTGTCCAGTGGCGGTAAAGCTGTTAGTTTGTTAAAGAAGATACCTAGTTACAATTTGAATAATCGCGAATATTAACTTAATTTATATTCATGACGTTTCGCGAAGTTTACAACCCTCATGGTCACGGGGAGGACTGAGGTGTTCGGCATCCCAATCTCATAGTTCACCACCGCTACCTCTAAATTAAATTGACCTCTAAGTTAAACTCATTACCTAGTTACAATTTCATTGCTTTACACAGTTTAGCGCTCAACTTCGCTTCCATACCTATTTTCTACATAATTGAGAAGTTTAAATTATATCAGACTTTAAAGTTATTAAATTATTATATTGTCAAATTTTCAAGTAACTCGGCCAACAAGTTGGTGAAAATTACATTATTAAAAGGTTCCGTTACAAGGATAGATAGATAGATAGATAGATAGATAGATAGATAGATAGATACACGTGAAGCTAATAACTGCATGTTAAAAATGTATTAAGATAAAATTATTTAGTAGGTGTAATACGTAAGTGGCTTATAATATCTCTAAAATTTTAATTCTTAAAGTATTTGTAAACAATACATTTGTACTTATATCAAGATGTTCCTACTGATAGCGTATGATAATGCCTATGACATAACGTAAAGCAGTTTTTAATTGTGACTTAAATAAAGTGTCGTTAGTATAAATTAGTGAGACATTCATTATTATTCATATTTGTTTAATATAGTCGGTAAGGGTAATATGGTCATCCGGTTAACATGGTCACTTCCTTATAACTTAAAAACTTCACTTCCTTGTTTGCAGAGATGGCTCTGTGATACGAAAGCTCTTCGTCAGTTAATCAAATAACAAAGGGTCAAAAGGGCGCTGCTTTATCGACGCCATTTTGACAATTGACATTTTAGTAAATATTTTAGTTGATTTTAGTATTGTGTCGTCTAGTTAGTTTTTCTTAAGTTGATTTTTTCTAAGTGTTCCTAATTACTGCCAAGGTTTGTTTGCTATTTTTTTTCTTAATATGTTAGTTATATTATACGAATTTGTGTTTTTTTCTCTGTCCTCGTCATAGTTTTGGTTTTATAGGGTGGCAAAGCTTAAGGTGACCATATTACCCTCACGTATCTTATTTTGTTTTCATTGATCACTAAAATTAATCAAAACTGGTCCCGGTTCATTTCGATTTTATAATTAACCCTTTTTAACAAACTGACTCATTCTTAGATTATCTTTATGTGTAGATATAGATTGCTTTATAAATATACTATTTTTAAGCTATGCTTATAAACACTCTAAGGATCCAAACCACAAACTGCCCAAAGTAATGATTCAGATCCTTTTTTCACTTGTTTTCCAAGTATGAAATACTTCTGAAAAAGAACAAGTAATCCCAAAGTCTACATTCAATTTCCTTTAAGATGATCATAATTCATTATGGATTCTGTCACAAGAAAAATGTCTTTATCTTTACAATCTGTATAACTTTATGTTTTGGTGGCTTGAAACAACACTTTCCTCTGCAGAACACTGTCCAATTTACTAAAAAAGTTAAGGGAAGTAATCACACGTTCATATAATTAAAAAAATAAAATGCTGACCCTTTTGAATGTTACAATTCACTTTTAATTAAATTAATCAACTAATCATTAATCTTACTATCGTTTAGTAAATTATAAAAAAAATAGTATGGTATTGGATACAAAAAATAGAAATAGCAACAACCAAATAAATTTTAACAAACAAATAATTTATTTATTTAAATAATATAAAATCATCGCAACAATTTCGTGACGGTCTAGATAAATAAATACAAATAAAAATTTATTGTGTATAATTTTTAAAATCATATTATGTTTTATAAATTCATTCCAATCCATGCATCAATGCAGCTAAAGAATAAATTGAACCATAAAAACACAATTTAAAAAAAAGGTCAATTAAATTCGAAAGAAAATAACGAACACTAACCTTCAACCATCGCCTTCTCGTCTCCGTGAGAAAATCAGTCAGCACCATCACTGAAACTACACGACGAAGAAAACTTACGAAAAAAAATCTCTACCGAAGGGTACCGCCTCACGACATGTACGATCGTCTCGCGAGTCTGCGAGGGAGTGCGCTGGAGGACCGCACGTACCTCGCCGCCCCCGGCGTTCCCTTTGGAAGGAGGTGCACTCGGACCCCTCCGACTATTAACACTATAAAAAAGAAAGATAAAAGCGAAACTACTTTAATACTACCGTAATATGAAAAAGAATGCATGCGGTAATTTTATGGAGATTCTTTTGAAATAAAGTTCCGGTTTTGGAAAACGTGTAACTTCCTTGCATTTTAATAGAAGTTTTAAAGATGATAAACAAATAATTTTAAATCCAAGTAAGTAAGACTCATTCAATGTAAATAGCTCTTAACTAAATCGTTGGCCAAAAATACTTTTAGCCAGTTGAAAACAACAAATGTTAGTTTATAATTGCAAAAAATATTTTTATGAGTTATGAAGACCTGACGATTAGTGACTATAATAGCCCATGGACACCAGTAACCAACTTTAAATAACAACCGTCGTGCAAAACAAGATTTATCTAAAGAAGTTATACGTAGTAGAGCCACTCTGCGGCTATGTTATGGTTGTAGCACGAATGAGTCGCCTCGACCGAGGTCTCACAGAATACCAGTGTAAAATAGCAGTTTAATGCAGCTGTGTTTAATATTATGAGTGTAGAGAACCGGAGACCTATTTTACTGAAAACGAGGCATGCCATCTCAGTCCTCAGGGGTGACAACGTTCAAACAAGGAGGCCTATGCGCCATAGCATTCACTAACTATCAAGTGGACTGTATGCTTGTTTGTCGCCCTAAATCTTTAAGAAAACTCTTAGCTGTGGCGCGGCATCTTGAGAAGGACTATCACAGGTTACCAGCGTGAAATAGCAGCATAATGTTACTTTAAATCGTATGTGAGTATCCACAAATGTAGACCCTTTTTACTGGAAACGATTTCATCTTGGTCCTCTGGGGTGATGACGCATCTTTTTTCTTTCTCAAATTATTTTGATTCTTAATCGGGGACAGGAGACGTCTATGAGCCACAGCATCCACTTACCTCAGGTGGCTATTGTGCTCTCTAGGCATTTTTATTCTGTAAAAAAAAATACTACTAACGGGTACCGCCAACGACGAGAAAGTCTGTGGCGGCGCTGTCGTCGCGCCACAAACGAAAACACATCGAAGCCTAAATCGCACTAACAAAGTTCCGAAGTTAAAGCAGCATATTATATAGAATAGATCCGAACTATCAATCGGAGCGTTGGCTGCTCCCCGGGCAGAACACCTTGCGCGGCGGGAGATCTCCCCTTTTCCTTCCACCAGCCACAAGTCCAACAGAAGGCGTCAGATGCGTTGTCACTCCTGAGATACTTGTAGAATGCAATGCCTTTGTAATCACACTCTGTTATTATAGCAGCTCTACTTACAGGATATACAAATGGATATACTCGTACTTTTTTTATAGAATATAAGGATGACAAACGAGCACACAGTCCACCTGATGGTAAGTGGATGCTGTGGCTCATACAAATCTACATCTATCTTCGATTACGAATCAAAATGCAGATGCGTTGCCAACCCTGAGGACTAAGTTGGAGTGCCTCTTATCCAGTAAAAAGGGTCTCCGGTTCTCTACACTCTGCGTGTAGAGAGCGTGGTGCTATCCCGGTCAAGACGACCCATTCATGGTACAACCATAATATAGCTGCAGCTTGGCTCTACCACGTAAAAATATAATATGCTTGTTCCAACATAAACATTTCAAAATTTTTGCTATTGCTTTGTGGTGGGGATGTATGGGAAAAGATCATGCTATTTCATTCCGTGGGTAATAACAACACCACAAGTTGACTAAGAGGAAGGAAAATCTCTTGATCACCGCCAAGACATGGTTTAACCGCAAAATTTTTCAGACAAGAATACACAAATTGTGTTACTGCAAAAATTCTCAATTTGTAATCCTGTGATATCATTTTTTTTATTCATGTTGGCTTGGCCTCTCAGTCTAAATGCATCCCGTTTTTATAGATTAAGGGTGACAAACGAGCACATAGTCCACAGGACACATGGTAGGTGGGTGCTGAGGTCCAAAGACCTACTCTATTTACGATTAAGAATCAAAATGCAGACCGCTCCAGAGGATTAAGATGAAACGCCTTGTAACCAGTAAAAAAAAATCTCCGATACTCTACACTCACCATACGTAACATGACAGCATTCAGCTACTATTTTACGCTCGTATTCTGTGAGGTACATTAATTTCATAACTATGACCTAATTTAATCACCAAGATTATCACTTGTCATAACCAATGTATATTGTTTTAGTTCTTAAAGTTTAAATGTATTATGTAATTACTTGAATTCCATTCCATACGATGTGAGGAAATAGTTAGGATTTTTGTAGAGCGTTATCAGCAGATGCCGTGAACGAGTAACTTCTTTGTATGATTCAGGAGTGATAAACGAACAAATCAACTTATAAACCAGCACTTAAAATTGCGGTTATAAATTTCATTGATGCCTTTATCGAACTCTGTCTGCTCGTAAATTTTAAGACGCCTCGGGTCTACGTCTATTATATATTTTGTATTATATATAGTTGACTATCTCGATGATCTAGTGGTCGAAAATACGATCATGAGGTTACGGATTCGAATCCCAGGTAGGACTAAAATTAGTTATTAGGTTTTTCTGTGAAAAAATGCTTGGTAGCAGTCCGGAGTTAGGCGGTTGGCGGTGTTTTACCCCCATTACTCGGAAAGGACCTAAAGCCGTTGGTCCTGGGCCTGATATCTCTCCGATCGTGTCAGACCGTCCCACTGGACTATGAGAGTGAGAGAATAGAGTGCACCTGAGCTTGCGCATACTTTCGGACACTATTATCTTGCTAGTCACTGTGACCGAAATTCGATCTGGAGGTCATAATATAGTTAGTTATTATACGGAATTGGCCACTAAATAAATTGAAAAAGCTTGTCTCTTGAAAAGGCTTACGATGGTGTTAATGTGTATGCATTTTGACAATTAATTTTTTTTGTTATAGCTACAGTATTATTAGGGAAGAATTCTTTAGATAAAATTAGTTTTTACAAATTTAATCGAGTATATGAACTTATTTTGTATTCCCGGAGTTTCTATATACTAAGAAGTCAAAGTTAATATATTTATTTCTTTAAATTTTTCTCTAAGAGATTATCTCGGATTAGGTGGTAAATAGCTCTTACGGCTCTCTGCTTAAAACAAAAATAGTTTCTAAATCAGCCGCATTTACCCATAGCAAAATTCTATATAAAATCCAATCCGCGATTATGCAGATGTCAGCTATCTTGATCTCACTGAAATGTAACTTGATAAACTTGAGCGACTTCAAAATTTTTGTATGAGATTTTTTTTTTTTTTTTCCACAACTATCAAACAACGCCATCTAGTCCCAAGCTAAGCAGAGCTTGTGTTATGGGTACTAGACAACTGATAAACATACTTATATATTTCTAAATACATAAATATTATAGATAAATTACACCCAGACACAGAACAAATGATCGTGCTCATCACACAAACATTTGTCCTGGGTGGGAATCGAACCCACGACCTCCGGCGTAGCAGTCAGGGTCACTAACCACTAGACCAACAGGCCTGTCAATTGATTCATATTTGTTTTGCGTAAATATGAACATGTATCGAATTTTCGTAACTGGCTCAAGTGGTAGCCAATTCGCTATCGCCGAAATGCAAATGCAAAATTAAAAATTTTGTACAACTGACTTCAATATAAATTATTAAGAACAACTTAAAAACTATTGATCAGACCTTGATCAAATTTATATGGGACCACATGAGAAGCCCCAGCTTTCAAATAAAAAAAGAATCATCGATTTCGATTCACCCAGACAAAAGTTTTTTTTTACAGGATAGGGTGACAAACGAGCACACAGTCCACCTGATGGTAAGTGGTTGCTGTGACCCATAGACATCCACATCTATCCTCAATAAAAAATCAAAATGCAGAAGCGTTGTCACCCGTGAGGACTAAGATGGAATGTCTGTTTTCCAGTAAAAAGGGTCTCCGGTTCTCTACACTCAACATACGGACGGGTTACGCTGCTATTTTCACGCTGGTATTCTGTGAGAGCGTGGTCCTTCCCCGGTCGAGCCGACCCATTCGTACTACAACTATACTACTAATATAACTGCAGCATGGCTCTACCATGAAAAACCGTTATGAGGTAACACACATAAAAAAAACATAATATAATAACAGAATTGAGTACCGTCTCCTTTTTGAAGTTTTAGTTTTTAAAGTTTAAATTTATTACGTAATTAGTTGAATTCCATTCCATACGATGTGAGGAAATACGAGTAGTTAGGATTTGTGTAATAGGCTCAACTGGTTGCCGATTCGCTTTCGCCGGAATGCTCATACTCTCGCTTCTTTATAATATTCTTTTTAATCCTTTCTATCCTTCTTACTTCTTAAAAAATCGATTTGAATTCCTTCATGACTCACATTTGAGAAATTTGAGATCATCAGAAAATTTGATATTAAAAATGCCAGCTCACACTACCAAATGTACAGATCATTTACAACACAAGCTGTCCGACTATGGAATAACTTGCCGATATCAGCAAGACGCACTCAATTCCTACCGGTTTTTAAGAAACGTACATGATTACTATTTTCATCTTTGATTCCATCAAATTCATTTGTATATACATAATTATTCTACTTTTATCTAATTACACTATTTGTTTATATTTATAGCAAATTTATGTTATATGTAATAGTTTTAAAATATATATTTGTAATTTTATATATATTTATTTATGCATCTTTATTACCCATTTTATGGTTTAGAATAAAATAATGTTATTTTTGTCCCCAAACCACACACATTTTTTATTGATTTTTTGCAATCCTGTCCATCCAAAGGTTGTCTGGAAGAGGTAGCTCTTAGCGATAAGACTGCC